AATACATCCTCACTGGCACGGGCATTACCGCTGGCTACCACCGCCTCTACAGCCACAAGGCCTACGCCGCTTCGTTCCCCGTCGAGTTTGTCATGCTCGCCTGGGGCGCCGCCGCATTTGAAGGCAGCGCCCGCTGGTGGAGCCGGAATCATCGCGCGCATCACCGCTATGTCGATACGGAGAAGGACCCGTACTCCGTCCACAAGGGCTTTTGGTACGCGCACATTGGCTGGATGATCTTGAAGCAGGACTCGAGAAGGGCTGGCAGAGTCGATATTAGCGACTTGAACGCTCATCGGGGCGTCATGTTCCAGCACAAAAACTACTTGCCCATTGCTCTTTTCTTTGGCTTTGTCTTCCCGCTTGCCGTCGCTACCATGGGATGGGGCGATTTCTGGGGGGCCTTGGTCTATGCCTGCTTTGGCCGCATGTTCTTTGTACACCAGGCTACCTTTTGCGTCAACAGTTTGGCGCACACCTTTGGCGTCCAGACATACTCGAAGGAGCACACTAGCTACGATCATATCATTACTGCCCTTGTTACCTTCGGCGAGGGATACCACAACTATCATCATGAATTTCCGCATGACTATCGCAACGGCATCCGTTGGTATCACTATGATCCCACCAAGTGGATGGTCAGAGCCTTATCCTGGTTTGGCCTATGCTCACGTCTCATCCGCTTCCCAAACAACGAGATTCGCAAAGCCGAGTTACAGGTCCGCCAACAGGACCTCGACGAACTCAAGAAGACTATCGACTGGGGGCAGGACATTGCCACTCTTTCTACTATGAACTGGGATACGGTCAACGCCCGCGTCGCCGAGGGTGAAAAGCTCGTCATCATCGACGGCATCGTCCACAAGATTGACGACTTTGTCTCGATGCATCCTGGAGGCTCAAAGATTCTCGGCTTTTGGAACGGGCGCGATGCTACCATCGCATTCCATGGGGAGGTGTACAAACACTCTAAGGGAGCGCGTAACTTGTTGGCACACTTCAGAGTCGCCAAGTTGCATGAAGATTTAGAATAGCTTGAATAGTTTTCGTTTCTTTTCTTTTTGTGAAGAAAGGCAATGGTAGAGTTTTGGTCTACGTCTTTGTATAACTGTGCCCGCACCGCGAAGAACGAGTCGGGAGTAAATATGGTTGTGTCATACAGCACCGAGGCGCTGTTTGGAGCAGAATCGCGAGAAGCTGTTCTGCAAACATCGCTCTAAGATTGGACACGCACACACGAAAGTCTTCCCCTGTACGGACGAGCAGCGCTCTACAATGTTAATTGCACTCTAGAGCTACAAAACTAAGGCTTTCATCGTTGACTGCCATCACAGTCAGATAGCACAGGTCAGTCTGCGCCGCGTTGTGTAAGAGAAAGCGGGTGGTAGCGCATGCCCTGCGATCACATCGGTCGTTTCCTGAGGTGGTAGGGTGACTTACTTGTACGGGGTGCACGGTTGTGCTCCTTTGCTGGCAGCAACTGAAAAGTGGCGCGATAGCAGCCGTGCATTTCGCCCGAGCGATCGGCAGGCACCAGCGAGGATCGAGGCGCAGCAACGGAATGAAACAGAGGCATTTTCGCGCCAAAAGTATGATTGGTACAAACCGAATGCACCCCCCCTGCCACACTGGTCTTGTTCCGCCCGCCCATGTCGCGCTCTGCGCATCCACCTTCCTGTCCCGACGCCGCACAATTCCGTTCGGATCGAATGGGGCGTAAGCGCGGCTTTGGCGACGAATCGTCGTCCGACGACGACTTCCAACCGCCGGATGGCGCCGCCTCTTCCCGCCTCAAGCGCGTGCGGCGCGTTTCGACACGTGAACGCGTCGGGCGGCGGGGAGGCGCGCAGGAGAGTGACGGCGATGGAGAGGTTATTTGTATCCCCGATTCCATCGAGGAAGAGGGACAGGGACAGGAAGACTCAGGGGTTGAGGAGACCCCCCTGTCAGAGGGGGAGGGGGCGGATGGCCGGGATGGTCGCGCTCAAGAGATTGATGGCAGCGATGCGGGAGGTGAGGACGAGGAGGATGCCGGAGACGATCGCGCTCACGGGATTGATGGCAATGATGGGGGGGATGAGGATGATGCAAACAATGATAATGGAGGTGATGAGTCCGACGGAACCGTGCAGAAAGGTAGGTTTTTTTTTTTGGACAGGCATACGTCTCCCGCGTTCATGTTTTCCGTGCGCTGTGCAAACTTACATCGCAAAGCGGCTTTTCTAACATTCTCGTTCTCTTGCGGGTTCACTTTGGATAGATGACGAGGTCATTAAGAAAAGAACACGACGAGTTCCGAACGCTAACGCAAGTAGCTTTGCTAGTTCCGATTCAGAGTCCGAGGCCTCTGAGGACGGTAGTGATGTCTACAACAGCGAAGACGACGAGCCCAACGACAGTGATGTAGAGAGTGATTTCGTACCCTCCCCGAAGAAGTCTAAACCCGCTCCGAAGTCGTCAGCCAAGGCGAAAAAACCATCGCCGAAAACCGTGCGAAAGCCGCTTGCAAATGCTAAATCATCCCTCAACGTGCGTAAACCGATCGCCGCGAAGCGATCCCCAGCTGTCGCTCCCACTGCAGGGAAGAAAAGGCTGGGTGCCCGCATCCCGAGCAAACTGTCTGCGTTGGGAAAGACACCTGGCGGTGGCGCACAGAAAGCCAGACCGGCCGCTACAGCGAAAACTGGGGCTCTGATGTACAGGGCGGGGCTTTCGCGCAATGCCGCAATACCGCCATTGCACTCGTATCTCCGCAAGTCGCAGTAGCGTCATCGTAATCAACTCTTTACTCTTGGCACATGTATTCTAAGCGCTCCGTTCAAATGCTTAGCAATGCCAACATCGCAGCCTCCTCGGTGTTCTGCGACATCCACATGTAGAGACCAATGGGCGTCCCTATGAACAAAAAAAGAGCTGGCGTGAGAGCAAGCACTCTGTCAGGAATGAGGTCCCTGCCGGGATGCTCTATGATGTCGTCCAGCCACAGGTATCTTTTCAGCGCGTAAATGGATGCTATATCCGCAGTGGCTGTCAAGAAAGATGAGATGACTATGATACTCTTTTCGTTCTCCTTGTTGATACTGACCAGGCGCAATGTCGCCACCGCAGTGGTCTGCAAAATTATGGAAAGTCGCAGCCAGGAGAGAAACAATCGTTCGTTGGAGAGATGCGTAAGGATGCGACCGTCCTCAGGAATTGCTTTCGACGTCTCCAGACTGAGCACCTGATTCAAGTATCGAATGTTATCAAGAAAAATTCTTCTATCACCCAGCTTTGCCACCCCAAGCGTTTCTCTCAACTCCATCGAGTTTAGAGACAGGAGAATATAGCCAGTGACTGAATGCTCGCGGAAGACCGAAATGTAAGCGTCCATATTGATGGCGTGGAGCCACTCAATGACCTCTTCTGTGTCATCCATCTTCTGGAAGATGGCTGCTGATTGTAGCCCCGCTCGCAAAGAATTCTGCCCATGCTCTGGAAGAGTGGACAGCACCTGTATCACCTGACTTTTGCTGTGTACAAACGGTAACAAGCTGCCTTCCTTGCTCAGAGTTTCCCCCATAGCTGTTGCAGGGTCAGCGGAGCAGAGCACCCAGCCCGAAGCAATTTCTTTGGATGCCTGCGGAGGAGTCTGACGGTGCACGGCTTCGGACCTTCAATATGAAAATCTCTCGTTCGTCACTTTCGCTTGAAGGCAAATGGCAAGGACCGTTGCATCTCTTTCAGCATCACCTTTGAACAGCTCTTCAACGAGCCATTTCCATGCGAAAAAAGACTTCAGCGAGCGCGATCTGGGACAGAATCAAAGAGGGGAGGCTGGATTTCGTGTGCCTGCACCTCCGTGCTCTGCCAAAGGATGTTTCCGAAGACAGTTGGGAAGTTTGCAACCTAAGGATGTACTTGAAACACTGTCCATGTCGACTGCTATTCCGGACCAGCAACCCAACTTGTTCTGCGCTCCTGGAGAGGGTTCGAAGTCAAATTTCCGTCTGTGTTTTAATTTCGGGCGAGTTTGGCCTCTTGATCCAATTACGCATTTCTACTCTCTATACGTAGTAAACATCCTGGACTGGCACTTTGCGCCCCTCGCCTTTGACACCCTAGGCGCTGCATCCGCCCGATCGATCGCCGTCATCAACGCTCTAGCACGCAACATCGCCGCCCGAAGCCACTGTGCCTACAGTACGACGAAGCTACACCTGCATCAACGAATCAGTTACGTAATACAGGGGGTCCCACGCAATAGTGCTATACCGGAACAGACCTCGATATATGGCACTATTGCGTGAATGGCACTATACTGAAAGCGCCAAAACACAATCATTTACATACAGTTGTCTCTGATCGCTCGCTTCAAACAGGACATGTCCATCAGAGATGCCAGGCTTTGAAGCGGAATTCTACTGTACCTCTCCGGGGCCGGCCTCAATAGGCGACAGCTGCGAACGTCCCTGCCTCCCCCCCTGTCCGCTCTCTTCTCCCTTGCACTCGCTCTACCCCTCCCCCCCTGCGGCGCCCCTCCCAGATGTTCTCTGCCAAAGTCAAGCAGCAGATC